AGCCAGTGTTTTATTCTTGAAATTTTTTCTTTTTTTTATTCTGTTTTTTTGAGTCAGGGTCTCATGTATCCAAGACTGGCCTCAAATTTGCTGCGTGGGTGGATGAAGGTGGTCTTGAACTTCTGATCCTCTTGCCAAGTGCTGGTGATTACAAGTACTGACTACCAGACTTAACCTTGAATCTGGTTAGACTCCCCGTTTTCTGCCCTAGATTGTAGCTCCATGGTGAACGGGTAGGGATGACCTCATCTACCATTGTACACAGGGGCACCGATAGCATCTGGCTCATCATTTTAATGACCCTGAATTTTATTCTGAGGACAACAGAATAATCAACATAGGAAAAGAAAGAAACAGTGCTCAACACAGAGGTAAAAGCCAGCGGTTATGGGCATCAAAATGCTGCATAAACGAGAAGGGAACATTTTGAGGTTGTCCCCTTATTTTAATTTACATCTGCATGGAAAACACACAGTCACTCAAGGCACAAGCCCAAGGGCTGTGTGTCTATATTCCAGAGTCCCAGAAGAGGGCCCTTCCTCTACAGGAGACTAGGGTCCCATTCTTCTCTCAAGTGTGCCCCACTGATGGGAGCAGAGACGCAGATTTTGGAAACTTCTAGAAATAGTAACATTGACCCTGGGAAGAGACACTACAGGAGAGGCACATGAAATGAATGTTATAGCAGAACACAGACATGGGGCGGAGGGAGTCACACACTCTACAGGAACCCCACTCACAGAAGCACCAAGTGGGAACAGAACAGATTCCTGTGTTTCACTAAACTGTTACTAAGTGTGTTACTGAACTGTCTCCCCATAGGGAAGTGGTCATACCACTTACTATTTATTTAACAGTCTATTTCGAGACAGGGTCTTGATATATACCCTTGGCTATCTTGGAACATTATATAAAGCCCAGCCTGGCCCCAAACTTGGGGTGAATTTTCTACCTCTGCCTCCCAAGGTTGCTGGGATTATAAGCATGTACCACCACACCCAGTTGCTCACACCAGTGTTAAATGCTCCTTCCCTATTAATCACCTTTCACCCTCTTTCTCTCTTTAGAGAACCAAATAAGCCCGCATTGAAGTTGAAGGTGGCCTCACAGTGCTTGCTTGTACAAATATACTTTCAGCTACGTGAACAGTCTGTGGAAGTTCATATTTGAATATCAACCCTGAGACTATAAAATCCTACCGGGGTACTTGTCCACATATATTTTTTTTAGTTCCAAGCCCATGGATCCAATTCAGAATCCTGTTAATGGCCGGTTTCAGACATAGACTGCACGTATGAGTGTGTCTCACCCTGACCTCATGTTATCCTAACTTACAGCACAGACCAGGAACAGGTTCTGCCTTCGGTCATTGTTTTCGTCTGCTGGCCTTCTATGTGGGCTCCGTATAAGCTTAGTCAGCAGAGGGAAAGGATGGATCACCGAAAGGTGGCATTGTTATCGTAAGGTTAGACGAGGGGTATTTCCCAAAGAGTAGGCGGCATACCACGGCTGCACCAGCAGCGACTTTACAAACTCGATATGAAACAAGCTTCAAATAACACATTTTTCTTTTCTAACTCTTGTATCATTTTGTCTAATGGAGTTTCTGGAAGTTGTTCAGTCTGTTGCCAGGATGGCTTTAATAGTGTCTGCCGCTGGCCAGTCCTTCATAAAGGCCAGGAGGACACCGGATTCAGGGTGTCCCTTGCATGACATAGCAAGAGTGTCATTTTTATTAGCCATATTAATGGTCATTTTTCTGTTAGGAAAAATGATTCTTGTTTTCTGCATATGATAAAATATGAAGTTTCTTTTCAAGGTGTGTGTAAATAGGAATAATAATTTTAGTATAAAAATATCCAGTGATTAGCAGTCTATCTAGCTGAAATGGAAGGTAGCATGCCAACGACTGACATTTGGGAAACTCGAGGGGAGAAGAGTTTCAGAACCCTGGTCCACACTCAGAAGGAAGCAATCTGAGAGATTTATTTATAACTGTTGGGACTTAAATCCCACTCTCGGGCCCCATTGTCCTTAATTACTGATGACAGCCACCCACCCAGCTCAGGATTCTCTGAAGCGCAGCTGGTGGGCACCGGCTCATGGGCCTTAGCAGTGAAGACCAGGGTCCTTTCTTTTCTTCGTGGGGTAAGTAGATACAGACCTTATGCCTAAAGAGCTTCCTAAGGGTGAGTCCTAGCCTGGGGCTATCCAGGATCTGCTTCTTGCCCTTCGTCTGGGTCTCCAACTTCTGACCAGCTTGCCCATCGCAGACACAGTCTGCTTTGGATACCTTCTGGGTGACAGCAGGTACGGCTTAGAGCTTTGCTTTTAAACAAATCCATTTTTTTTTTGTGTGTGTGTTTCAAAGTATATTCAAATACTGCAATAATCAATTACTGGTATATCACTCCCAAGAACCAACCATAAGCCGTCATATGAATATTTATCTTTTTAAAGTTCTCAGGTGATTGGCTAAGCAGTATACGCATGGCCAATTTCATGTACACATTTTTAAATTTTAAAATGACTCAGATTAACACATCTCAGAACTGAGTTCTTCAATCCAACCAAAACAACTTTCCCCATCTCTGTTTGCTTAAGATGGTACAGGATATTTATGCTCTGTGTACATGACTTAAAATATCAGAATAAAAACAAAACCAAAACTAAGAAGATAATATAACAGTCCTGACTTAACAGCTGTAAACATTTAGTAAATTCTACTGTCACATGTAAAATAAAAAGAACACACACATCACAAAAACCAATTGATGTTTTGTGTCCTGATTTAATTTTTTTGCCACCAAAAAGCTTCTATCCTCCAACCAATAACCTTTGAATCAGTATCTGAATCTTCAAGAGTATCAGCCACAAACATTTTTGAGTGACTTCTACATGGGCAGATCTTCCAGGCAAAGGGAGTTCCTAGTGTGAACCAATTCACTGAGCCAAAATGGGAGGAGACAGGGACCAAAATAGCTCAGTTACAATCACCAAAAACTGTTGAGTCGGGTTACAAATGGCTTGAGGCTTTACATAAAATATATGGTGTGTTTAAAATCACCCAGGACCAAGTGGGACAGAGATGGGGACTCCAAAGCACTTTGGGAATGTCGGTGGAGAATATGCCCACTGGCAAGATACAAAACAAAGAGGCCAACTGGTAGGTGTCATAAAAAAGTCATATTCAAAACCCCTCACCTAAAATCCAGGTCCTCAGTAGGGACCCCTCAGAAAGGTATGCTCAGTGGGGACCACATCTGTATTGTAGACAGGTCTTGGTGCATGGCCAGCTAAGTAGAAAGAGTGCACCAGGACACTTGGGAAACCACCCAACACACCACGTCTTCCACTGTTTATAGATTATTGTGCTGAGTATGGGGCTTTGAAAAATGCAAAAATCTAGAACCAAAGGAGAGACATTTTGACCCAGCCATTCGTTGAACTTGGCCTTAGCTGCTTGTAGTAAGTGAATAATTTTCAACAAAATGCACATCTTGGGAGTCTATTTTTCAATGGGAGAAGAAAGTTCTAGATGGCTCAATTCAATATGTAATTATGGGACGAGGGATCAACTGCATTTGGACAGAGCCCTGCAATTTCCCAGGCACGGTGGCAGCTTCCCTTGACCCTGGGTTCTAGGAGAGAGTTTTTATTGGGTCAGTTTTACAGATATGGAGACTTGGGTTCAGATAAGTTAGGACCACCCACCCCCAAGGCACAGAACTAGAGCTCAAAACAGGCTTTCTGGGACAAAATCTAGGATGCTTTTGTTTGCATCCTTCAAATATAATTAGTAGCTGCTTGGGGCTGGCTGAACGGTTTATTGAGTCTCACTGCTGGTCAAAGCACTTCAGTTATCAAAAGGACATAACACTTATCTCTCTAACTTAAACTCCCTCACAGCTCCCAGGAAATTTAAACCGGGTGTTCCCTTACAGGTAATCAATCCTGTCATGTGGAAAAGAAAACCATCTCTAGGAAAGTAGTTTTTTCACCCAAATCTTTCCGGAGAGGATGGGCGAGTTTCTAAGAAGGTGGAAAAATCTTTGGGCTCTACAGAGGTCCTGGCCATCCCACCGGCCCTTCATCCAGTCGGTGTCCCGTGGCAACTATTTTAGTTCCAAAATTGCTTTTGCAGTAAAGATGTGCTTTTTGTCAAATTACGTGAAAGTGAAAAACACATTGAAAAACCAAGAATTTCAGCCTCCTCCTTCCACTTTCCAGGAAATCTTTCGTGCAGTAAAGATGTGCTTTTTGTCAAATTACGTGAAAGTGAAAAACACATTAAAAAACCAAGAATTTCAGCCTCCTCCTTCCACTTTCCAGGAAATCTTTCATTTTAAAACTACATTCCCTGACTTTCTTCTCTAAACACAATGAAAAGTCTATGGTAGTATCACAATTAATGATTTATACATATTCTATGCAAAAATATTGGGTATTGCGACTCTCTTTAGCCAGGATTGTTATATCATTTTTCAAGCTTTTTACTGAAATTTTCATTAAAATATCATTAGCCAAGGCTGGGATTATAGATCAGTGGGTAGAGAGCTTGCCTGTAGTGCAAGAGGCCCACGGTTCGATTCCCAGCCCTGCAAAAATCCAACCAACAAAACAACAAACTCTTAACTGAATGACACACTTGAAGAACAACCCAATGGAATTATTAAACTGCTAAGTATATTTATTTTGCATATAGAAACCAATAAAATAAAACAGAACTATAAACCTAATTCTTTACACAAACACAAACATCAATACATCTCAATCTTACTACCTTGTCTTCGGGATCTTTTTTTGCTTCAGTTTTGTTAGGTGAAACCTTGAAGTTTGAGAAAAACAAATATTAAAACTATAGCTCCTTAGGATGATTTTTATTTCCTGGAGACATGACTCTTTAGGGTGATTTGTTTATCATACTGAAAAAGTAAGAAATGAGAAGCATTTTTGATTCTGTAGAGACCCATGCACCTCCAGGCAATA